CTGCTTATTTTGAGTATCTGTGACACATTTTTAATTATTGGTTTTGCCTTGTTAAATGCTTATGTTTAATATTTAATGGTGTCATTATTTTGAATGTCTAGTTTTGTGTAATAAGAAGGGCACTAGTAGGGGCCTGAAAATGATACTGATAAATAAGAGAAGTGGTTCTGGGTCACAATCCCAGGGGAAGGAGGAGCACTACCACACCAGAGTATTAGGCTTCAGGGGAACAGGGACCCTGGTCATAGTTCCAGGGCAGAAAAGAGTGCTTGTGGTCACTCACAGAGCAGAGCACAGGACAGAAGAGCACTGAACATGTCTCTCCTTATATCATACCACTTGGAAGAACTAAAAATTTACAGACCCCCAGAACTAGTTCTTACACCCCAGAGCCCATCTTTAAAATAAAGTTCAAAATCAAGAAATAGACTGGAAAAAAGAGCAAACAACAACAACAAAAGAGCCTGACCATAGAAAGTGACTATGGTAACAGGAAAGGTCAAAACACACTCAGAAAAAGACAAAAAATTCAAAACAGCTACCTGCAAAGTCTCAAAGAAAAATGTGAATTTTATATGTGAATTATATATATATGTGTATATACATACATACATACATACATATATACATACATATATGTGTGTGTGTGTGTGTGTGTGTATATATATATATATATATATATATATATATATGTAATTCCTGGGAGAGATCAAAACAGATTCTAAAAATCAAATAAAGAGACAGAAAAGTTGGGAAAAGAAATGCCAGTGATGCAAGAAAATCATGAATCATGAAAAAAAGTTAACAGCTTGATAAAGGAGGCACAAAAATTACTAAAATATAATAATAATACCTAAAAAAACAAATAGGCCCAATGGTAAAAGAGCAAAAATCCATTGAAGAGAAGAACTCCTTAAAAAAAGAATTGGCCACATGGAAAAAGATGTCCAAAAATTCACTAAAGGAAAGAACTCCTTAAAAAGTAGAATTAGCCAAATGAAAAAGGAGCTACACAAGCTCATAGAAGTAACTAATTCCTTAAAAATTAGAATCAGGCAAGTGGAAGCTAATGACACCACAAAAAATCAAGAAATAAGAAAACAAAATGAAAAGAATGAAAAAAATAGAAGAACATGTGAAATATCTCATTAGAGAAAAACTGACCTGGAAAATAATTTTTCTCTCCCTCCAGGAGAGATAATTTAAGAATTAATACACTACCTGAAAGTCATGATCAAAAAAAAAGCCTGGGCATCCATCATCTTTCAAGAAATTATCAAGGAAACTGCCCTGATATTTTTTAGAATCAGAGGGTAAAATAAAAATTGAAAGAATTCACTGATTACCTCCTGAAAGAGATCTCAAAATAAAAACTCCCAGGAATATTGTAGCCAAATTCCAGACCTCCCAAGTCAAGGAGGAAATGTTGAAGTGGTCAGAAAGAAACAATTCATATATTGTGGAACTTCAGAAAGAATAATACAAGCAGCTTCTATATTAAAAGATTAGAGGTATTGGGATATGATATTTCAGATGGCAAAGGAGTGAGGATTACAACCTACCTAGCAAAACTGAGTATAATCCTTTGGGGGAGGGGAGAGAGGCATAAACATTTAATGAAATAAAGGACTTTCAAGTATTCCTGATGAAAAGACAGAGCTGAATAGAAAATTTAACTTTCAAATACAGAACTCAAGAGAAGCATAAGAAGGTAAACAGAAAAGAGAAAAACATAAGGGATATAAAAGGTTAAGCTTTTTACATTCCTACATGGGAAGAATGATACTTGTAACTCCTAAAAATTTTATCATTATTAGGGCAGTTGGAAGGAGTATACATAGACATAGCACACAGATATGAGTTAAGATGGGATGATATATAAAAAATAAAATTAAGGGGTGAGAAAGATAAATACACTTAGAGAAGGAAGAAAAGAGAGTTGGAATGGGGGAAATTATCTTACATAAAAGATGTGCAAAAGAGCTTATACAGTGGAAGGGAAGATGGGAGGGGGGAGATGAACAATGTTTTAACTTTACTGTCATCAGATTTGGCTCAAAGAGGGAATAACAAATCTTACCCTACAGGAGAAGAGCATAAGAAAAGGAGGAATGCTGATGGAAGGGAAGGCAGATTGGGGGAAGTGATAGTCAGAAGCAAAACACTTTTGAGGAGGAACAGAGTGGAGAGAGAGAGAGAGAGAGAGAGAGAGAGAGAAGAAGAAGAAGAAGAAGAAGAAGAAGAAGAAGAAGAAGAAGAAAAGGGGGAAATAAGATGGAGGGAAATATACAATAATCATAACTGTGATTAAAATTTTACTGTAAGTTTCTCTGATATTGGCCTCATTTCTCAAACACATAGAGAACTAAGCCAAATTTATAAGGTCATGTCATTCTACAATTAATAAATAATCACAGGACATGAATAGGTAGTTTTCAGATGAAGAAATCAAACTATCTATAGTCAGAATGCCAGACCAATTCCACCAACAGTGCATTAGTGTACCTGTTTTCCCGCATACCCTCCAATGTTTGTCATTTTCCTTTTCTGACATGTTAGCCTATCTAATAGGTATAAGATGGTACTTCAGAATTGTTTTAATGTGCATTTCTTTAATCAATATTGATTTAGAACATTTTATGTGATTATTAATAGTTATGATTTCTTCTTCTGAAAACTGTTCATATCCTTTGATCATTCATCAATTGAAGAATGACACATGTTTAAACATTTGGCTTATTTCTCTGTATATTTGAGAAATGAGGCCTTTATCAGAGAAACTTGCTATAAAGTTTCCCTCTGGTTTCCTTCTTTCCTTCTAATTTTGGCTACATTGGTTTTGTTTGTGCAAAACCTTTTTAATTTCATATAATCAAAATTGTCCATTTTACTTCCTCTCTATTTCTTGTTTGGTCACAAATTCTTCCTTTATCCATAAAGCTGCCAAATATAGTTTTACCTGGTCTCCTGATTTACTTATGATATCATCCTTTATGTCTATATAAGTTGTTCATTTTGACCTTACCTTGGTATATAGTGTGAGAAGTTGGTCTATGCCTAGACTTTCAAACTGCTTTCTAGTTTTCCCTGCAATTTTTGTCAAATGGTGAGTTTTTGCCCCAAAAGACTGGAACTTGGTTTATCAAACACTAGATTACTATGTTCATTTACTATTGTGTATTGTATATTATGTACCTAATCTATTCCACAGATCCTCTACTCTTATCTCTTAGCTAGTGCCAGATTGTTTTCATGATTACCACTTTGTAATATAGTTTGAAATCAGGCATAGCTCGGTCGCCATCTTTCACATTTTTTTTCATTGATTTCCTTGATTTTTTTTTTACCTTTTTTTTCTTTCAGGTGAAGGTAGAATTGATAGTTTGATTCACGTAACATTGAATAAATAAATTGATTTAAGTAGAACTGTCATTGTTATTATAATAGCTTGGCCTACCAATGAGCAATTAATATGTCTCTAATTGTGCAGGTGTATCTTTATTTGTGAAAAGTATTTTGTAATTCTATTCATATAGTCCCATGGTTTGTCTTGTTAGGTAGACTCCCAAGTATTTAATAATGCCTGCTATTATTTTAAATGGAATTTCTCTATCGGTTCCTGACAGGGTTTGCTGGTAATATATAGAAATGCTAATGATTTATGTGGGTTTATTTTATATCCTGAAACTCTGCTGAAGTTTTTAATTGTTTGAACTAATTTTAGTTGATTTTCTAGGATTCTCCAAGTATACAAATATATCATCTACATTGTCTATTTTTATTCCTGCAATTTCTTTTTCTTATCTTGCTGCTTTGGCTCACATTTCTAATATACTATTGAATAGTATAGGTGATAATGGATATCCTTATGATAGCCTTACTTCACCCTTGATCTCATGGGGAAAGCTTCTGATTTATCATTATTACAGATAATGCTTACTCTTGATTTTAGACACATACTACTTACCATTTTAAGAAAGGCTCCATCGAGTCCTATGCTTTCTAGTGTTTTAATAGGAATGAATGTTGGATTTTGTCAGAAGTTCTTTCTACATCTATTCAAAAAATCATATAATTTTTTTGTTATTGGTATGGTAAGTTATGCTGAGTTTTTCTAATATTGAAGCAGCCCTGAATCCCTGGGATAAATCCCAGCTGGTCTTAGCATATGATCTTTGTGTTATATTGTTGTAATCTACTTGCTAGTATTTTATTTAAAATTTTTGCATTAATATTCATTTAGCCAAATTGGCTTGATAGTTTTCTGTCTTTGTTTTTTGCTCTACCTGGTTTAGGTATCAGTACTATGTTTGTGTCATAGAAGGAATTTGGTAGGACTATTTCTTTACCTATTTTTCAAATAATTTACATAAAATTGAGATTAATTCTTTCTTAAATGTTTGGTAGAATTCATTTGTAAATCCATCTATTCCTGGGATTTTTTCTTTGGGAGCTCATTTACAGCTTGTTCAATTTCCTTTTTCTAGGATAGGATTATTTAAGTATTTTATTTTTTCTTCTGTTAATCTGGGCAATTTATATTTTGGCAAATATTCATCCATTTCTCTTAGATTGTTAGATTTACTGGCATGTGATTGAGCAAAATAACTAACTCCTAATAATTGTTTCAATTTCATCTATTGGTGGTGCATTCACCCTTTTCATTTTTGATACTGATAATTTGGTTTTCTTCTTTATTTTTTAAATCAAATTAACCAATGGTTTATTAATTTCAACTTTTATTTATTAATTCAATTTTTTTACTTTGAATTTTGTTAATCTCTCCTTTGATTTTCAGGATTTCCAATTTGGTGTTTAATTGGTGATTTTTAATTCAATCTTTTTCTAATTTTTTAACTGCATGCCTAATTCATTGGTCTGCTCTTTTTTTTTTTTTTGACTATTAAGAACCAAAGTGATTTTTATTCCATAAATTAACCCATTTATTGTTGGATTATGGGCTACAGATATTTCATAAGAAGATTTTACTGGTCTTTCAATTACTTCAGTCTTCTGATGGCAGATTTGACTGTGACTGCAGAGGAGGTATTGTAGGACCATGCACCACCAGCTACTGTCTTCATACAGGATCCACAATTCCAGATACCTACAGTCCATCCCTTCATTTTGGTCTTGCCACGGAAGGAGCAGGTATACTTGGCATGCTGGCTAATTTCAATTTTCTTCACCATTTTTCTGAGGGATGCACCATAACGTGTTCCATATTTACCAACAATTCTAACCTTCTTGGTACATTTAGCCATGTTGCCAGTTGTGGGGCCAGAGCTCAGAGAGCTCTTTTTCTTTTTTATTGATGTGTTTAGAGATATAAAATTTCCCCTAAGTACAAATAAGACTGCATGCTAGAACTTTTGGTATATTGTGCAACTCCTTCAATTTATAGAGGAGGAAACTGAGGACTGACGTGATTTGCCTGAATATACAAAGCTAATTGGTAGGAGAACTGGGACTCTAACTCAGGTTTTCTAACTGCTAATCCAGAGTTCCTAATATACAACACTGTCATAGAAACCAGAAACTTAATGAAACCATCCAGCTTTAAGTGCTAATGTTCTTTAGGAATTCAGAACCATATCTAGCAATTTTATACTTCCCTACTAAAAAAAAAAATAACATGAAGCAACCTCAGTTTGACACTGAAATTAGTTATATGAAAATAATATAAGTAACTCAGAGAAATTCAGGTGAGCCAAAAGACAAATTAGTTACTTCTGTGTCTCACAGATGGATTTTATTAGCAAACCTTGGGTAGCTTCTTATTTATTCTGTTAAGCTCCTAGTAGCAAGAAGTTTCTAGCTGCTGAAGGAGGGCATGTGTTAAATTTGTACTATGGGATAAATCCCTGCTCTAGGATTGAAACATTTCCACATTTTCCCACCACCCAGGAATTTTTTACCTCTCCTCCAGGTTATCGAGATAATAATAGTGACAAAATCTCTATTCTGAAACTTTGTTAAGATCTGTTTGAATTTTTATTCAAAAAGTAAAATTCTGTCCTAAAGGACAGAAAATATTTTAAACTAGAGTTGTATTTGGTGAGAAGGATAAAATGTGCAAAAGGGAACTATCATATTTATATTCATTCCCAGCCACTAGACAGAAATACTTGTTAGGAGAGGAAAAGGTTTTCCTTCTTCAAGAGGAGAGTGGAAAATTACTTATTACCTATAGCTTTCAAAAAATAGAAAAGACAGGCAATGGCTGGGGTCATAAAGAGCCAGACATGACTAAAAATGACTGATCCGTTTAGTTAGCATAAACAGACTAAGGAAATAGTCTGTTAAGTCAGTCAGTCACTCAACATCTATTTATTACTTCTTGGGCATTAGCCACTATGATAATTACTAGATATAAAGAGGAAAGGGCAGAAAATAATTGGAAGGAAGAAAACAGCTTACACATTGACCACAACAGTGTAAATGGAAAGAACAACAACAAAAAGGAAACTGAATGCTGTATAAGTATGATGACTAAGCTTGGTCTAAAAAAGAAGTCAGGTCAACAAATATTTATTATGTACCTGCAGTATGCCAGGCACTGTGCTAAGCACTGGGGATACAAACAATGACAAAAAACAGTCTTTGCTCTCAGGGAGCTCTCAAACCAGTGGAGGAAATAACATGCAAAGTTATTCACAGGATAAATTGGAGATAATCTAAAGGAAGGCTCTAACATTAAGGATAGAAGTGACATTTGCTAAGACTTGAAAGATGCCAGGATGTGGAAATGAGGAGGGAGAATGGTGGGAAGCATTAAAGGTATAGGGGGCAGGCAATGAAAAGAAATGTCTTTGGGAGGAATAGCAATAGATAACAGAGTTCATGGAGTAATGTAAATTGTAAGAAGACTGGAAAGGTAGGAAAGAGTCAGCTTTGAAAACGTCAAATGCCAAAGAGAAAATCTTATATCCTGAAAGTAATAGGAGGCTACTGGAGTTTATGGAATAGGGGTGTATGACATGGTTAGACATGCATTTTAGGAAAATCAAATTGACAGCTGAATGGAAGATGGACTGGAATAAGGAGAGACTTGAGGCAGGGATACCAGACAGTAGGCTATTGCAATAGACCAAACATGAAGTTATTAGAGTCTGAACTATAGTTGTGTCAGTGTCAATGGAAAAAAAAACTTGCAGTGGCCAAAACTTGACAACAAAGTAGGGCTTTTGATACTAAGCTTTCCTAAAGTCTTAGAGCCAAGAATAAGCTCTAGGAAAGGATCTGACTTCAAGATAAGGATTTAGAAAGAATTTTAAAGAAGTAGTCAGCATTAGGTTGAGTAGTAGCTTATAACTTATTTATACATATCTATACCATCTTATATCTATACCACTTTATATCTTATTTTTACCACTATACCATTACTGGGATAAAATGCAGACTCTTCTATTTGTCATTTAAAACCCTTCACATCCTGTCTCCAACCTATTTTTCTAAATTGATTTCATATTCAGCCATTCCATTGTTAGATACATTGGCCTACTTGAATTTCTTCCAAACCAGATTCTATCTACCATCTCTGAGTCCTTATGCTGGCTGTCCCCCACCATGGTCCAAATGTTCTCCTTTCTCACTTTTGCTTTTTGAAATCCCTACCTACCTACAAGTCTCAGTTGAAATGTCCACAAAAAGACTTTCTTGACTCCCCATTTGTTAGTACTTTCTCCATCCACCCCTGTAAATTGTTTTGTATTTATTTGTATTTTGTTTGTCTGTATATGTGTTGTTTTCCCCCAGTAAAATGTAAGGTCCCCGAAGGCTGGGACTGTTCTGTTTTTGTATTTATAACCCAAGTACTGGGCACAGTGCTTGGCATGCTTTAAGTGTTTACTAAATGCTTCTTGTTAAATAACTGTCAAAGAATTTGGGGAAGTTATTCTCTCTTGCCCACATTTTTTCTTATTTATAAATTAAGAATAATTGTCTTGCATACTCACAAAATCATTTAGTGATCAAATGATATCTGCATGTAAAGGTGAGTGAAAACAGTAAAGTACTATAAAATATGAAGTATTATTATACTATGGGACAATGTTTACTTTATATTTTTTCCTTAAACCAAGTACATAGTAATATGATTGGCATAGAGCTAGCTATTTTTTTCTATTTTTAAAAGGGAAATGAAACGTCATTCAAAATCTCAACTTATTTCATCTTTTGCTTAGTACAAATCACCCCTCTTTCTTCTGACAGAGGTATACCTTAGTTACTGGTTCAGTTTGCCTGCCTCGTTGTCATGGATTCCCAAATTTAAAGTGTTCACAGGATACAGTTCACTATATCAAAAATAAGCTTTCTCAAAATCAGAGTCTCCAGGGCTGAGGTCACTACCACTCTCTCACACATTTATTGATAATACCTGAGTCTTACTTAGAGGGTTTTTTTTTCCTGCTCAGACATTCAGCACTTTTCTCTCTGGGATGACATCCTCAGCTACCAAACAAGGGGCTCAAACATTTTTCAGCCATTCTCCAAGTTCTAACTGGGTATCTTCAGGCACTTGTGCACAGATTCACAAAGAGAGACAGACCTTAGAGTTTACATTCTAACCTGTAGGACATGATACATTTCCCAAGTGACAAGATGTGTTAAATAGCCCCTATAGTCCCTAATAGAAGTATATTTTTCTTTTTTTTCACATTTCTAACAGCCTAGGCATGGTCAATTTTTCAAACACATAAATGAACATGTAATTGAATATATAGCCTCAAACAATGATTATGGCTGCCTATAGTGGTTACTACAGGTTCTTCCTTGTGACATGCTTTTTGGTTGCTTGTTACAGCATATAATCACTAAATCACACTTTCCCCAGGCTTGCAGAATTTGCCAAAGGTCATCTTGTCTAAATTTCTACCTCTTATAAGGATTGTGTCCTGCCCAGCTCAGAAATTGATGAAAATTTCTCCTACTCTGAATCATCTCCAAACAGAGTAATTCCCCAATGTTGGTCATCCATCCCACATCTGACAGTTTTGTCTGTATGGAACATCTATCTTATTCCACATACAACTTCAAAATCTCTCTCCCCTAGAGAAGCCAGAGAGATCATTTAAATATCCCACCATCCTCAAATGAAATGCTTAAGGATGAACTTACCTGTTGTAGGTTTAGCTGTGCGCACTGGGGTATAGTGGTTTTTTGAGGAAGATCTGACTGGTGTGTTTTCTTTGGGAGAGGTATCAATAGCTGAGATAGTCTCTCTTTCACAGTGTGCTATTGGGATTGGTCCCTGTTGCCTTAAGATGTCAGCCAGAGCTCTGAAACGACAGATGGATCACACAGTTAGATTTAAAAAGCAGGTGCACATAACATGCTGGGGATTCTACTTTACTTTTCATTGATATGTTGATTAAATAAAGACAGAGACTGGATGCACAATCTATTTCTTAGTATTCATTGCCTTATCCCATACAGGGATTGCTGTTGTTGTTCAGTCATCTTTAAGTTGCGTTGTACTCTTAATGACCCTACTGGAGGTTTTCTTGGTAGATACACTGGAGTAGTTTGCCATTTCCTAATCCAGCTCATTTTACAGATGAAAAAACTGAAGCAAATAGGGTTAAGTGATGTGCCCAAGGTCACAAAGCAAGTAATTGTATAAGGTCAGGTCTGAACTCAGGACGAGTCTTCCTGACTTGAGCCCTGGCACTCTATCCACTGTGTCACCTAGCTGCCCTATACAGGGATTGACAAGGGGTGATGGTGTTAGTTTTAGCTGGGTAACGTGGGGATGGGAAAGGCAGGGTTCCTATGGACCTGATTTGTTCATCTGTCTTAACTTTAGGATGTTCTACACATTCCTTACACCTGCCCTGCACTCTATGCCCATGCCAGCCTCCTCTGTTTCTCCATCCTGAGTAGCTATCTACAACAGTTAACCAGAGGAATGTCAGTGAGTTGAGACATTAATGAATGAATCAATCAAGAAGCATTGATTAAACTCCTACCATGTTCCACACACTATGGTAGTTGTCTGGGGATATAAAGACAAAAAAGAAAGAAAAAAGAAGAAAAAGTCCCTGCCCTTAAGGAGTTCACATTAATTCTATCAAAGGAAATAACAGGCACATATATACAAAATATATACACAATTAAATGCCAGGCACTTTTGTGGTGCAGGCACTAATAAATAAACTTTAAAATATTATAGAAAGTCAGTTATTATCATCTGGACTTGTTTATTCAATTACTTTCCTGGCAAAGGCCAGGCCATGGTCTCAATGGTAGCTCTTTTAGAGCTCTAGGTACTTTGCCTCCATCTCAGACAACTCCTATTCTTGCCCATTCCTTTAAATGTGGCATACCTTATGACATTTACCCTCTTACACTTTGTTTACTCACCTTTCTTTTCTCCTTCCATTATCTCTCTAGGGTTGTTCTCTTTCTGCACCCTTCTCCATCCCCCAACCTTCCCTCCTGACCACATTATTTTATAAAACCTCTTTCACTGCTTCTTAGTGAACAATATTCTTGCAGTATAAAATAGCTCATACCTTAACCCATTTCCTCTGGCATATCCAAATTAATTAGGTGAGAATGAAAAAGACCAGTTTAGAATTAACATAATATTTATTAGATGCCCTGGAGAATGGGGAATGAAAATGGAGAAGAACAGGAGAAAAGAAGAAGGTCATGATGCTGGCAAACAATATGGCTATTTTTTTTCCTATTCTCTTTAGAAAATCATGTTAAATAACTGTTCTTGACCACATAACTGATTGGGCATTAGGGACTCATGAGCAAGACAAAAATTCCTGACGTACTTTTGTGTTGTTAGAGACTATTTGGTATAGGTGAGACCTGGAGGTCTTTCTTTATTGAGGAGTAAGAGAAAGAAAACATGCACAATGACAAAGTGTGTGTTCCTTGGGTGCTAGAAAGTCACCATAATGATAAGGCCTCTGAATCACAGTCCAAGCCACTGTAGCCACAGGGCCACATCTCTCCCTTTTTAATCATTTAGCTATCAAGTATAGGTCAGCATCTTAGGACATTGGGATATTCTTTTAAAACTGTTCAGAAAATGTTTGTCATGTCCCCTCTTTCCTATCACTACTACCACTAAAATAGGTATGCCAAAAAAATCTTTTTTGTCTCATTCCATAATTAAAATGGTTATCTCTTATGGAAGTGGTCTAACTTTACCATAGAACCAGGAGGAACATGTAAGGGGTTGGTGATCTAGAAAAAAAAAAGATCTGAAATTGGATGTTTTATGCTTCAGAATGATAGGATATATAAGTGGAATGGACTTTAGAGGTTATCTAATCAAACTATTTTATGAGTGATCAAACTAAGGCCCAGGTCACACAGGTAGTAAGTAGTATTAGCTAGGGTTTGAACTCAAGTCCTCTGGGTCCAAATCCAGTTTTTGGTTTTTGGTTTTTTGTGTTTTTTCCCTACTACAACATATTAACTCTCCTTCCCTATCCTGGATAGCTTCTCTTATGCTATATACAGGTTTTCATGAATGTCCTAGAAAGATATGTGTACTTCTTCAGGATGAATACTTTTCATATCTTTCCTAACACTTTATGCACCTTGACTAATTCAGTTTCCTCATCTTACCCCCCACTAAAAATTAAAAACAAAATCCACTAGGGCTCAAATTATGCATTTCAACTTTCTCTGTAGAGCTAATTAACTGAATGTTATTCAAATTTTTAATTCCTTCTGTATTGTATTTATGTAGACTCATGTCATTAAAGTTAGCAAATACAGCTACCAACAGTCTGAGTTCCTCTTAACATCAGGGAGGGGCATCTCATTATAAATTCTGGAGAGGATATTAGAGTAGACGGCTATTGAATGCTGGGGAATGGTGATTCATAGTCCTCATTTCTGGAAAGAATGGGATATGGCTGTTCATATTGTTTTTAAGTCCCTGGCCTTTTAAAATTTAGTGATATGTTTTATTTTTAAAATTTTTTTAATTTCCAAATATCTTCATCCCTTTCCTTTGTCTACTCCTTCTAACAAACAAAAACAAAAGTAAACAAACAAGAAATAGAACAAAGATAAGTCAGCAAAACTAAAAATCACATTGAATCTGACACTGTATGCAATATTCCATGCCAATAATCCCCCTTCTTACCTTTAGAGCCAACCTTGGCCATTATAATTGCATAGTATTCAATTTCATTGTATTTCTTTCCATTTAAATTTTGTAGTCATTTTGGATATGGTTTTTCTTTTCTGGTTCTGCTTGCTTCACTCTAATTCAGTTCATTTAAGTCTTTCTATGCTTTTCTGAGTAATATTCTATTATATTTGTGTAGCACAATTTGTTTAGTCATCCCCCATCTGATGAACATCTGGTACTTTGCGACTACATAAAGTGCTGGTGTATGTAGGAACTTTATTCATGTCTTTGATCTTCTTGGGGGATGTGGCATTCCATATGGTCTCTGTGTCAGAATATAGTGATTTCAGTCACTTTTCCAAAATCCAAACTGAATGCCAGAAGGGGAAGTAATTCACAACCTCATCAAAAGTGTGCTGCACTGGGCTTTCTCATCATAGACAGCTGGTGAGTAAATGCCAATGTGGGGAATAGAAGTTGGTGACCTTAAAGGTGACAGAACCAAAGAGCATCAGAGATGTAAGAGATGTTAGAGTTCTTCCAGTCTGACTCTCTTATTTTAAGAAGAGATTTTGAGACCCAGAGAGGGGAAAAGACTTGTCAACTCTCACACATCAAGTTAGAGGCAGAGCAGGACCTAGAATCCAGGACATTTTCTTTTATTCCACACTGACTGGCCTTTGATGCCAGTTCTTCTCTGATTTGTTATGGTAAACCACTGAGATTCTAAGCATGTCTACATCAGGCATCTCTCTAGAGGTCACATGGGACAGATATTTTGTGCCAGCTTCCTCTCTTACAGGCCAATGGGGAAGATGCTTGACCAATCCCAGTAAAGCACAAAGAAAATACGAAATTTGTATGTAAAGATGACTAAATTATAAGACTTCCGGCCTAATTTTTTCTTCTTCAAAAGGTTCTGTACTTCAGAAGCAGCTTAACAGAAAAAAATCACTTTATTCTCATACACATTTAGTCACTTATTCAGGCTACAATCTATCTGTTTCCCTGAACTTGAGGTTCACAACCTTGTTACCAAGACTGGCACTGGACATCTGGGAGGGGTGCACAAAGGTGGGATGGGGCACTGAAACTATCATCTTGAGCAATCTGAAGACAGTCAACCCTAAGGCCAAAAAGACATCTAGTTATGACCACAGTGTCAACAGGTTATGGCAAGGTTACAGTTAAGGCAACCCCAACTCATCATCAGGTACCACTCTGTCACCTAGGTTACTATAAATTTGTTTTCCCAGATAGCTTTCATTTCCTTAGGAATCATCTCAGGGTCTTTCCTTTCTTAACTCATTTCCCTCTGTTTTCTCTCTGTCTTGAATATCTTGAGAACTTGGCACACTAGCCATTTCTTGGCACTCTTCCATCCCTGAAGCCAAGATGGACAATAGGTCTCCTGATTTCTTCTTAAATTACCCTGTCTCTCTCCTCAAAACACCTATTCCACTGATAACAGTGAGTGGCCAGCATGCTTCTTTTCCAATCCTCAACCCATCTACCTCCACCAATGGGTAAGTAAGTATGGTAATCTATTCTTACACAGACTGTCAATGCCACTCATTTGACACTTCTCAGATATTGTCTTCTATTGTTTTCTTTTCATGTATATGTTCTGTCTCTTCATCTAAACTGTAAATCCCTGAAGGCTAGGCATATGTATCATTTTATGTCTCTCATGGATATAGCACAATATCCCAGTCACTCAATTCTCAGTAAATTCTTGGTGATTCTCTAGAGCTTATGTAAAATGGCTACTAAACTGCCATACAAAATATTTGCTATCACCATTCTTCCATATGGCTACCAAAATGATATTCTTAAAGCATAGGTTTGATGATGTCCCTGCTCAAGATGCTCCAGTGGCTAACTATTGCTTCTAAAACCAAATAAATATCCTTTGTTCACCCTTTAAAGGCCTTCATGATCTGGTGACAGCTTACACTTCCAGTATTATTACACATAACCCCTCTTCACAGACTGCATAATCAGTCCAGTCAATCTAGCCTTCCTCCCATACCACATTCCATCTCCCATCTCAGTGTCTTTGCCCACACTGTTCCCTATGCCAAGAAAGTATTTTCTCCTTTCCTCTGTCTCTTAGAATCCATAGCTTCCTTCAAAGCTCCAGTGCCACCTCTAGGTAAAACTTTTACATGCATT